CCAGCTAGAGCTGGGATTTGAGAGTTTTATAGTCTTGCCTCACTTTAAGTTTGTACACTATGCTTCTTGCTCTTGCTTTCATGCTTGAACCTTGGTAGTGTGTGTCATTACCAAGATATCATCCCTCTGGAGTTGTATGTCAAAAAACAAAAACATAAACAAAACAAAAACAAACACAAAACCTCTAGCATTCTTAGGTTGTTTTTGCTCATATTGTTTCATCACAACAACAGAAAAGTAACTAATATAAATATGCATTGTCCTTGATAAATAAGGATCATGATTGTGGCTTGTCATTGGGGAAATTTTTGCCAGTATCCCTCTCATTTATGAACATCATGTGACCTTTGGTTTTGAATTGTCTTTTCAAGGATACCTGTATGGAGAACTATGATTTGTAAAACATGGCATGGGTCTCTAAGGAAGGAATAAGTTTTATATCAAGAATAATAGATACATAGTTCTCTCTATGGAAAAGGTTAAGCAAATTGCAACTAATTTCATACTTACTCAGTTATGAACATGTCCTCCTGACCCTCGTTAATGTTATTACTGTGGGACCTTGGTAACAAAGTTAGTATGAAACCTGGTTGCTTCTCTGCTCAGGGGGATAAATGTCTTTGTTACTATTTCCAGATTTCTGTGTCTTTCATCATCTCCTAAATAGCACGAGGCTAACTTGGTGTCTTGCAAGGAGGGTAAGCTCTTAGGCTTCTCAGAAAACTTGATGCAGCTGAGAACAACTCCAGTTGAGACATATTTGAATGAATATGTGTACATATGTATTTAAACAGAGTATAGTTTAGTACATCATGATATTCTAACAATTCCATTTGCAAGTGAGTTAAAAGCTTTTAATAGTTAGAGATAGGAATAAGAAGAAAGAAAAGATAGAGAGGGAAAGATGAAGCATCCATATATGAAAAGAAACGTTTAGCCTTAATATGAAATTTTGCAAAGAAAATTAAAAAAAAATCTTGCGAAATAGAACCACTCTAATTCTTGTTTGGGAACGTATACAGTTTTAATTTAGTCAATGAGTAACTCAGAAGGTTGGTTTGAAGAACAGTCATTCCTTACATATGAACCATTGCTTTAAAAATGTTTGTACTTTGTATTACTTCACTGGTAAATACATGTGAAACAAAAAATGAAAAAGATTGTGCTACCTGAGCTTTATACACAGATGTCTGGCACACTATTGCTTTTCTCTATACAGCTGGCTCTAGTTTACATTGTAGGAGAAGAACCAGATCTTCTGAATTGTGCTTTCATTGGTAGATTACAGTAGGTCTCTTGGTGGGAGATTTGTAGAGGTCACAGCCTCTCCAGGGCCTAGAAGCTTATCTTAATAGCTCAAAAACACGGGGCTTTCCTTTCAGCAGAGCTTCTTGCATCTACCTGACCTTGTCTAGAGACTGTCCCTGGGTCTGGAGGACTGACCGTATCTAAAAGCTGATTTTAAACCAGGTGTCTGACTCATCTTTAGCCTGATCTTAGGCATAGATTCCTGCTAAGAAGACTTGTGCTAGGAGCTCTGCTTTAGGGCCCTACTGCAACATACAAAGCCTGGTGATAGGAGAGGGTCACTTAATCAAATAAGGGTTTGTCCCCAGGCTCTCCAGTCCTATATATTCCTTAACCTCACGAATAAAATTGAGCTGATTCACCTAAATCTGCCTCCCAGAGGGCTCATGGGCCACATACAGTTTTCTGTTGCCTCTTCTGTCTCTTTTCCCTCTCAGAATGATGGTCAACAAACCGAGAGAGAAAGGGATCACCTACAGTTTCTCATGCTGTTCTAAATCAACCATTATCATCTTCTTTCACATAGAAAGAAAAATAAAATTCTTAGAATGTAATTACCATCTTCCTATGCACCATACCTGATTCAGTTTGTTTATCCAATTTCTCTTTCTTTCTTTCTTTCTTTCTTTCATTCCTTCTTTCTTTCTTTCAAGTTAAAGTGGGAATCTATGTTTGTTTGGAAAAATGCATTCTCAAAAATCATATCACTAAATTGAAGACTTAATTTTTGTTATTGTTTCAATTATTTACTTTTCTCTAAACAAAATCAGAATTCAAACGCCTATATACTTTATAAGGGGTATTTGAAGTTGAGTCTCATTTCCTTGTGTGTTTCAGGTACTTGGCAAAAAATAGCAAACTTCTAACTATTTCAAAGAAAAGATTTGACCAGACAAGAAAAAAAAATACAAGTGAATAAGAGTAAGCCTAGCTCACCTTGCAACTACATAATTTATACTATTTCATATACTCAGGTTTATTTTAGGAACTGAAGGATGAATGAAAAAGTAGGGTAAGTTCTAGCTTCTTTGTTATTATTTAACATATATTTCTATATTTATCTTCAATGTTGATTAGGAACACATTGATTTATTATTAATTTATATTTTCTTCAGTTGACGTGATATCCAGAAGCACCCTGTGCTTGAGCCATGTACAAGTGGCACATGTTGTCAATGATATGTGAGTATTTTTTTATCCCCCTAAGACTAATTGGTAATTATGGGGGGGGTTATTCACACAGATATAAGAGCTCATTGAACTTCTGTATTAATAACAAAATAATATTTAAGGTATAAAACAAGGAAAACAAATGCAAATACATAACATGTAAATAAAAAAAAACCTCCACATCCCTAAATCTATAAAGTAGGATTAAAAGGACTTAGGAAAGTGTTCTTATGTTTTAACAACTGATACTGGCATTTTCATTCTTAAAATACCAAGCCAGCATTAGTAGTCATATTAAAAATTAATTCTATATTTGAAATGTTCATTGTGGCCACATTACTGAATGAAAGACTAAAATGATCAACAGGTAGGGTGATAAGAATTAATCATTTTCTTATTTAACAAGTACAATATAAAAAGCTAAAGGTATGTGATGTGTCTTTCATACATTGAGGAAGCTCTTCCTCTGTGTTTGTCTTTGTTTCCACATTTATAATTGATGTCAAATGAGACACTTCTGAGTCTAGGAGTCTATCTAAAGATCAGAGTAATTACGTTGAGTAACAATAAAAATGATAATGTTATGTTTCATGCTTTTAAAACATTCATTTATTTATTTATGCATATGTTGTGTATTTTCCATATGTGTGGGTGTGCCCATGGAGGTCAGATGAGGATATTTGTTTTTTTGAAACTGGATTCATGGGAGGCTGTGAGTTACTGGATGTAGGTGCTAAGAACCAAATTCAGTTCCTCTGGAAGAGTAGAAAAGATCCTTAATTACTGAACCATCTTCAGCTCTATATGCTGGACTTTTAAAATAACATTTTAGAGAATTAGCATCATGCATCATCACTATAATAGTCAGTGTTTCTAGATTAATCAGCCCTTTATCATTTCCAATATTTATAAAAACAATAAAAGTTAATGCATAAAATATTCTATCAATTAGAAAGTTAATTGAAAAGTATTTACTAAATGTGAGTAATTAAACAGCTAAACAAAAGACATGCATGTGCTTGTACATGTAAATAAAAGTTTTATCTAATACATTTATTATTCAAACGCAATGCAACTTTTCATTCAAAAAAACTCAAGAATCAGAGGGAAGAGAATAAACATACAAGCAACTGACATATAGAACAGAGGATTTTTTATTTCCTAGTGAAGGAATATGATTTCATGATCTTAACTGAGTTGATAATTAATTCCACCTGAGGGAATTGTGGAACATTCATGGGAAGGAGTTCTGAGCCATGAGGAAATTTTATAGTTTTCATAGGCATAGATGATGAAAAGAGACATTCCATGCGAAGGGTAAAACATGAATTAGGAACAAAAGTAAGAGAGCTCTGGGCATTTTCAGAGAATATGAATTATCCAGTGTACAGTTGAATCTCAAAGCTTAGTGGTTGAAAATAATAGATTAAAATTTAGTTATGAAATGAGGAGACTCACACTATAGGACAATTGGTTGAAGAATATAATTGGCATGTCAGCCATCATACTGAATATCTTTGTGTACATTACTTAAAGCCTTTTAGTTTATGTCCTCAAAAATAACATTGAAATATTAATCACAACCAAGGATGAATCTAGGAAAATCTTGACAAAAGTTCTTTGGCCTACATTCAGTCATAGCATGAATGAAGACACAAAGACTGTGATTTCCTACCAAAAGAAGTGCATGAAACTACTCAGGAAAATATGAAGTGAAACTTCAAGTCAAATTTAGATGATTGTGAGCCTCATTAAAATAGCTGTGACAGTTATCTCCAAGTCTAATATAGTCAATGAGAAACTAGTGACACCCACTGTAACGTATGCCTTTTTCTGAGCAAAGTAATATTTTCTAGGCAAAACTGATTCATAAAAGGAAAGCATTATATTTTTGAATTCTGGTACATAACATGTATGTACAATGTGTTCCAAAACCAGGGCCATCTGTCCAGATAAATGAAGCCAACTTTAGGAAAAGAATCAGCCTACTTGCTATAAAATCTGTCATCTAAGCTTAAAGTTTATAAAGCTCACTGATGCAAAGAAATGGCAAAATGTGAATAGAAAATGTATTTGGGTATTTCCAGGAAATGGTAATAATATGCAAATCTGATGCCACACAGTAGGGCACCTTTATGGTGAGTGAGTACAAGTTGATAAAGAGGAGAGACAGATGCAGATCTGAAGAGGTAAGGACAGTGAGAAATAGAGTCGGGAGGAGGCCCTGATTTCCGGCTATACAACTATGGTGCTGTCTGGGTCTGGGCTGCTGCCAAGGGCCACGACTTGGTTCATTTCCCTGATGCAGCTGTGGGAGTCTGCATTGATGCCCATGGCTCCTGTTACCACTGAGGGTCCAAAGGACACCTGTCACCAGGACTACTATCTATGACCAGGTTGATGTCTAAGAGATTTGCACCCATAGACACCATATTGATATAAGATTTCTGTTCCACCACCCAGGACCATGTTGACCTCTGGCCCAGACTATGTCTTATTCCATGGCCCTATGTGGCTGTGAGTCAATATTCATAACTCTTGTTAACACCGAAGGCTGTGCAGATGCTTGACATCCTAGCAGACACTTGAGGCCATGTTGGTCTTAGAATGTCAGCCTGCAGCTGGGGATATGCAGATAGACCTAGGTGGCCCGTGATGACACCCAGGGTAATGATGTTGTCCAGTCCTGAATGGCAACCATAGGTCACATCTGGGTCCACAACCTGCAGTGGGATAATGCTTTTGCTCACTGTAAAGATTTGTCACTTCTATTGGTTTAATAAAATGCTTATTGGCCAGTAGCCAGGCAGGAAAGATAGGCAGGGCAAACAGATTAAAAGGAATTCTGGGACGAGGAAAGACAGAGATACATTTATAACTGAGATTCAGAGGAAGAAAGGTGAGAATGCTTCACTGACAAAAGTACCACATCATGTAGCTAACATAGAGAAGAATTATGTGTTAATTTAAGTTGTAAGAGGTAGTTAGTAATAAGTCTGAACAATAGGCCAAACAGTTCTTGAATTAATATATGCTTCTTTGTGTTTATTTGGGACTAAACAGCTGGAGGATTTGGTGGGACAGAAACTTCTATCAACAAATGGTACCCAAATATTTGGCAAGAATTTTCACATAAAGCCTGAGAAAGCTTTAAAAAAAAAGTATTCTAGATAGACAAGAACAGAGCCAAGGGCAGATTGGTGACCATCTTTACTCTGGTAAACTCTGCTTGCTGGCAGAGAGCAGAGCTAAAACTCCTTCAAGAGAGGCTTCCTGACTCAGCATTAATTGCAAAAACTTCTCATCTCTTTTAAGAGTCTGCTACCAAACACTTAAATGATGTTTATGAGTAGCCAGCAGAAGCTTGTTAGTGGTAGCATAGACCTTGAAACTCCACAGAGTTGTGGTAATAAAGATGGTTCTCACCAGTACCTCAGCCATGAAGCTAGACTCTCAGAAAACTAAGCAATGGGGTGGAGCCAGCTGCAAAAGCCACAGCTTCAATCTTAGCCATATCTCGTAGCAGACTGGAGACTCGTGTGCTCAGAAAAAGATAGAGAGATCTATAGTAAAAACAGATTCAGATGAAAAAAATCTAAATAGCTTACAATGTGTATATATATAGGCTTGTGAGAGAAAAGTTAAAGGTCAGAGAAAGTTCTTTTAAAAAAGAAATAGAATAGCTGGGCATGGTGGCACATGCCTTTAATTCCAGCACTTGGGAGAAAAAGACAGTTAGACGCCTGTAAATTTGACGTTACCTGGGTCTATAGAATAAGAGAAAGGACAACAAAGACACACAGAGAAACCATGTCTCAAAAAAAATCCAAAAATTAAAAATAAAAATAAAAGAAATAAAGTAAAAACAAAAAGCCACATAAGAAACTCAGGATACTGTATGTTATTGCAGTGTCTTTGAATTGTTTGACTTCTGAGGAATGAGCAACAGCTCCTAAAAGACATTTTATTATAAATGCTTCTGGATTAACCCAACCTATATATTGTGAAAATACCTTGACTTCAAAATTTAAATCAAAAGATATGTTACTTTGGAGAAGAGGTTTTGCTTTTGTTTCCACAGGAAATGAGAATCTTTGGATTCATTCTTGGTTAAGAAAAACAAGGTTTGAAAAAGGAAGACCCCCTGAAAATTTTCATTGGTAATGGATGGCCCAAATGACCCAATGTTTCAGAGCATCTCTGCTGCAACCTCTGAGTTCTATATCCAGAAGAGTTTCAATGCTGCTGGCTGAGATGATTCAGCCTCACAGAATACTCAGTCAGGACTTGACTATACTCCTGAATTTTTTTTTGGGTCGCCATAAGATTATCATTGTCCCTAATCAGCAGGAATTAGTCTAAAATCTACACACACATTCCCCCAAAATGGATGATGGATGTTTGTCTTTTTTTAGTGTGTTGGTTACAAGTTGTTATGAAAAGTGGTCAGGAAAAAAGTTAAGCAAAGGTGAAAAGACTCAGGAACTTGTTTTGAAAAGAAAAAATGGGAGCCTGCTATGGGATAATGGTTTTGTACACTGTAAAGATTTGTCACTCATATTGTTTTAATAAAATTCTGATTGGCTGGCCAGTAGCCAGGCAGGAAGTATAGGTGGGGTGACCACACTGAGAGAATTCTAGGAAAAGGAAAGGCAGAGATGTAGTCAATGGCCAGCTAGACAGAGGAAGCAAGATAAGAATGCCTCACTGAGAAAGTACCAAACCGTCTGACTAAATATAGACAAGAAAAAATTTAAGTTGTAAGAGGTAGTTAGTAATAAGCCTGAACAATAGGTCAAACAGCTTTTAATTAATATAAGTCTCTATGTGTTTCTTTGGGACTGAATAGTTGTGGGACTGGGCAAGACAGAAACTTTCATCAAAACGGCCCTACTGCAGTCAGGATTTGTGCCAAAGTCTGTGGTTCCTGTTACCATCAAAGGCTTAGCAGATACCTGGTGTCTGGGCTACTACCTGGGGATATGTTGGTATTGGGACCCATGGTGATTTAGACAATCTGCAATGCCCATTGGGGCCACAATGACATCCAGCTCTGCTTGTGGACATGGAGCAAGCCTGGTTCTGTGATCCTACCACAACCAGAGTCTTTGCTGATGTCAATGGCCTGTGTTACCACAAAAGGCCACAGTGATGCTCAGTATCTGGGCCTCCACCTGAAGTCTTCTTGGTGCCAAAAGGCTGTGCTGCTGTTGGGCTGATAAAGATCTGAATGACATGTACTAACCCCTGACTCCATAGCATCACATGTGCTCAGGCTGCAGGTGTGGCCATGTCTGGGACTGTGGCTATCTATAGTCAATATCTACATTAATGTCCTATTTTAGTTCATGAAGATAGCTGGGATTTGGACCCCCACATGGGACATGTGGGTGTTTGAGGGCCACACTGTAGTTGGGTCCATGCTGGTATGAGTGACCTATACTGACAACCAGAGTCATAGTGACATCAGGGCCTAGGGTGCTGGCCAAAGACCATGTCTGGGTCCATGGTCCAAACACACCTTTGGTCTACATTGATATCTGTGGCCTGTATTGTTACAAAGGGCCATGCAGACATCAAGGGCCTAGGCTATCAACTAGGGTCATGTTAGTATCTGAGGTCTGAGCCTCTGCCTGGACCATACAGATCTGAGTGACCTGTTCTGCCAACTGGGGCCGTAGTGTCACCCTGAACTGGGCTGCTGCCAAGGACTATGTCTGAGTTCACAGCACTCATGCAGCCTAGGTCTGTTGATGTCCATGACTCCTGTTACTATCAATAGCTGTGAGGCTAGGGCTATACACAATTGGCCTGCCCCTCACTGATTCAATCCATTGGAGTGAGAACCATGTACCTCCCATGGGCAGCATAGTAGAGTTGACCCTGTTCATGGGGTCAGAGGTAAGCTGGTCATATGGGCGGCAGAGAAAGAGAACTGCCCCTATTTCTTCCTTTATATGCTATGTGGTGGCAAGGGTAAGGGAAATATGCCCCCACCCCTTGACACCTGCAGCAGGTGGGAGATCTAACTTTAGGGACATGAGAAGAGCTGTTCTTGTCCTTCACTATGTGTACCAATTGGGAGAGCAGACCTTTCACCATACTTGGACAAAACAGAAAAGCTGGCCTTGGAGGTGTGAGGGCAGGTGAGCCAGAACTTGGTGTAAATTGATCTTATTATGCTTAACCATGTTCCTGCATATCTAATCTCTCCAGGATTTTTATTATGAAGGGGTGTTGAATTTTTTAAAGTTTTTTCTACATCTAATAAGGTGATCATGTAGGTTTTCCTCTTTTAGTTTGTCTACATGGTAGATTACATTTACTAATTTTCATATATTGAACCATACCTGCTTCAAGTGATTCAAGTGGATGAATCCCACTTGATCATGGTAGATGATCTTGATGTGTTCATGAATTTAATTTGCAAGTATTTTTTTCTGCATTTTCATATCTATGTTTATGATGGAAGTTGTACTGGGATTTTCTTTCTTTTTGAATATTTGTGTGATTTGACCAAGGTAACTGGCAAATTGGGCAATATTTCTTCTGTTTATATTTTGTGGAATAATTTAAAATGCATTGACTTTAACTTTTCTTTGAAAGTATGGTAGAGAAATCTGTGCTAAAACTGTCTGGCCCTTGGGTTCTTTCTTTTTTTTAAGTTGGAAGATTTTAATGACTGTCTCTATTTCACTAGCAATTATAGGTATATTTAAATAGTTTATGTGATCTTGATTTAATTTTTGTAAGTAGTGCCCATCTAGAAAATTATCCACTTCTTTTAGATTTTCCAATTTGTTGGGGCACAGATTTTTAAAGTACATCCTTATGATTTTTTGGATTTCCTTGGTGTTTGTTGTTGTGTCTATGTTTTCATTTCTGATTTTGATAATTTGCATGTTTTCTCTTCTCCTTTTAGTTTGACTAGAATTTCCTACTGTGCTGATTTTCCCAAACAACCAACTCTTTGTTACATTGATTCTTTGTATTGTCCTCTGTTTCCATAGTTGATTTCAGCCCTCAATTTGATTATTTCTTGCCAAATATTCTTTGGTTTTGCTTATTTCTTTTGCTCTAGAGCTTTCAGGTGTGTTTTTAAATTGTTCATCTGAAATTTTTTCAATTAATTTATGTAGGCATATATTGCTATAATTTCATTGTGTCCCATAAATTTAGGTATGCTATATACTCATTATCATTTAAACCTGGAAAGTCCTGCATTTCTCTATTTATATATTGACCCACTTTTCATTTGCTGGAGTGTTGTTTGATTTCCATAAGTTTGTAAGCTTTCGGTTGTTTTTGTTGTTGCTGATGTCCAACTTTAATTTGTGTTACTCTGATAGTATGCAGGGAGTTAGCTAAATTTACTTATATCTATTGAGACTTGCTTCTTGTCTCAGTATGTGTTCAATTTTAAAGAAAGTTTCATGAGGTGCTAAGAAAAGGGTATATTCTTTTGTGTTCAGATAAAATGTTCTGTAACTATCTGTAATGCTCATTTGGTTTATAACATCTATAAGCTCAAGTATTTCTCTGTTTAGTCTTTGTCAGAATGACTTCTCCATTGGGAAGAGTGGAGTACTGGAGTCTCCCACTATCAGTGTGAGGGTAAATATGCAATTTAGCTGTAGCAGTGCTTCTTTTACAAACTTTGGTGCCCTTGTGTTTTGGTTAGAAATCCATTTTGTTAGATACTCAAGTGGGTACATCAATTTGCTTCTTAGGTCCATTTGCTTTGTATATCTTTTTCCAATCCTTTGTCCTGAAGTAATAATGTATATCCTTGATGTTGAGGCATGTTTCTTGGATGGAACAGAAGGATGGATCAATTTTTTTCATCCATTCTGTTAGCCCGTGTTTTTAGTGTGTAAAATGAGTGTGCTCTTATGTTAGAGTCTGGGTTTGGGATGATTATAAGTCTGATTTCTGGCTTTGTCTTTTTTGGATAGGTGTTTTGCTCCTTGGTTTCCTGTTTTCTCTCTGAATATTTGGAGAATGTGATAACTATGTGTTGCCTGGTTACTAGTGTGATGGTTTGTTCACAGGAAATGCCAGCTGGCATTGGAGTCTGGGATACAGAGATTGAGTCAGGTGTAAGTGGTTAGGAGGGGATGGTTTGTGGAATCCTCAGGAGATGTGTATGAAGGACAAGGGGAAGCTGCAACTGGTGAGCTGTTGCCACACTAGAGACAAGACTGAGGGGATTGGGTCTAGAGGAGGAGAAAAAGAGAGAGAGGCAGGGTGTGGGGGAGGTCTGAAGATCTACCTTATTTTATGGCTGGCAGGTGCTATTTCTTAACAAGCACAGGTTCATTCTTTTGTGAACGATAGCAGTGAAATCTCATGAAAACAAGTTCATAGTGGAGTTGTAAACCTTATATGTCTGTATTCTACGTAAGACAAACAGTCCCTGGACCACCTTCATTATACAAAATATTCTTAGTGTAAAAGAATGTCTGATTTATTTTTAAAAAGATTTAAAATGAGACTGAAAGAACACCCTCTGATGACTTTCTTACTAAATGGCTATTCTTGAAGTAATTCAACAGTTATAATCTATTTGGGAATTAGGAAAAAAGAAACTTTCTGCTAAGAATATACCATAAAACACATCCAAAATAGGATTTTCAATGTACCTGAGAAGCCTCTCTCAACAGACTTACTATTGAAAGTAGCCATATAAGGTCATTACTCAGTCATACACTTTTTACTTCACATTTGTATGAGTCAATTCTAATTTAGGATAAATATGACCACAGGCATATTTCCATATATGGTTTCTTTTGAGGATTTCCAACAAGATATCATTTAGTTTCAAAAATATAGCTAGAAAATGGCCAGGCTAACTGAATATCTCATAAATATTGAGATTTGTGAGCAGAATAAAGATGTGAAATTTCTTTTTTACTGGCAATCAATATGGTATTTCTGGTGGGTTGAAAATAATTTTACACATGTTAAAATTATCTTTCATTTGTCACTACATTAAATAGAAAAGTTATATTAATCACATGTGTCTTATGAAATAGCGTTAATATATCCTCCATGGAGGCATCCTTCTTTTATGAAAAGTCGTTGCTTGATATTTTATGAAAAAATACAGAGAATGTGTTCTTTCTATGGGCTTGGTTAGTATATTGTACACATTTTCACACTATTATGAACATTGCTATAAAAGGATCTGTTGCTAGTTATATTTTAATATGATGTAAACTTTAAATAGCCTTTTCTATGTAGAATAATCTACCACTAGAGAATCATAGTAAACTAGGTAAATAAAGTGTATTTTTCTGCCATAATTCAAACAAAACTTCACAACAGGTGGCTCTAATTAGTATACTGAATATAAATGAAGGCTATAATTTTAAATAGTGTTTTCTAGTAGAAATGTAGGTGGAGGGGTTGTGCCTATATTCTTTGAGTGTGAATGGATAATATGTATCAAACCAGTTCTGATTTTTCATATCATGCTATCCTGAAACAGTGTGACTGTTAACTTCCTGAGCTCTCTTGTACTTTGGTCATGTTTTGCTTGAGAGTTAACACAACCAGGCACTACTAGCATGTTGCTTTAATTATGTGCCAAGATGTTACCTTAGTATTGAAAATGATGTCCTCCACTCCCTCTCATGCATCAGGGCTGTCTTCTCAGTTTTGAACCACTGTTACTCTATTGCATTCTCACTACAGAAACACAGCCTGTTCATGGGTGTTGCTTTCACTTGTGGGATGCTGTCTTTAAAAATTTACTGATTATCATTTACATCTATTTGCTTCATGTCTTATTCTTTGTATGAAAGGATTTCTTCTTACCTTTCAGTTCTGTTTCCTTTTAAAAATATTTTTATAGATGATAAAGTGTTAAAATATTTTACTTACAAGATTTTTTTTTAAAGTGAGTTTAAGGCTAAAATCAGGCATTTACTTAAAACTTCCTAGTGGTATCCTAGGAGAATATATAACGGAAGCTGGTTGTGATCATTTCTGATTTTTTTTTTGCCTTCAAATTCTTTTTATTAGTTCTTTTTATTAGTGTTGTAAATTAGAAAAATTTACAACAAAGAACTAAAAGATATTATAGACCAATCTCTCTTATTAACATAGGTATAAATGTTTTATATTAATATTAAATTATTTATTTTTATAATTTGTTTATTTTTATTTTTTGTTTTGTTTTGTTTTTGGTTTTTTTATTAATTTATAAAAATTTCCACTTCCGCCCCTCATCCCAATACCCTCCCACTCCCCCACTCCTCCTCCTTCCTCTCCAGTCCTAAGAGCAGTCAGGGTTTCCTGCCCTGTGGGAAGTTCAAGTTCTTCCCCTCTCCCTCCAGGTCTAGAAAAATGAGCATCCAAACATACTAGGATCCCAAAAGGCCAGTACATGCAGAGGAAACAAGTCCCAGTGCCATTATCAATGGCTTCTCAGACCTCAGTTAGAGGAAAATGTGCTTTTGCAAGCCCAGTTCAAAAGACTAGAATAGAGGGCTAGATTACCAACAAAAGTTTCCACATGAACTAGTAAGCATACTATAATAAAGAAAGGCTTAATAGGAATGCCAAATATTAGAATTCCGAGGCATTCAAATAAAATTCTTATTAATTATTCAGAAACTTTTGTTTATCATGTGAAATTTCCTAGTACGCAGTCCAAAATACTATTCCTGGTGTCTCAGAGTGTAAGGCACTGGCTAATTTCTGTTTACATGGATTTGGTATCCAAGCCCAATAGATACACACACACACACATACACACACACACGCATTTTCATTCAAAGGCAAGAAACTGGGCAAACAGTCCATGAAAGCTCTGTTCCTGTCTCCTTTAGCAGCCATGACAGAATCTCAGTCAACCGAGAAATGTAGCTTCTATTCTGAGCTTCCCTGCAATCAACTGAAAATCAGTTGATCTGTTTGAAAGTAAACAAACAAGCAACAATTAAAACCAGAATAGTTTCCCCAGTCAGATACCCTGTGTACATGGGACAACACAACTTTTAATTCATCAGCACTTTGAATGGAAATGATTCTTTCAAATTTTATACAATAAGAAGCTTATATTAATAAGACAGCTTTATAGTATTCCTATAGACTCATGTTTTATATCAGGAGCTTTCTAAGTGCTCTAAGTCATTCATTATTGAATATATAATGAATTTTGTGATGGAGGAAAATGATCGATTGTTTCAGTCATCTTTGTTGCAGAGGATACAGTTCCACTGCTGAACAACTTAACAGCTTACATGGTTTCAGATACTGTGAGGTGTCTATACTTACCTGGAAAATTCGGCCACATGTGATGGTAGCCGGCCCTGTGGTCATTTGGAAAATCAGCTGCCATGATGGAAGAAGAAAATTCATTTAGATGTCTGGCAGTTAGCTGTAGCTTCGAGCAGATAGCACAGTATAGACTGGCAACGAGAGACCTGTAGTATCCTCCAGAAGACTCCCCAAGCACCTCTGGATTCTCACAGATTTTTTTTTTTCTGGTTATCAGATGGTCTTTTATTGAAATATTTTCTCTTGCTGCTTCTTTGCTAGCTGGACATTCCACAGCACCACTGTTGATGTCATCAATGATGTCATGAGGGTGGCGCCCACCCACATTGCAGCCCACAGACTGTGCAGTACCCAGGATCTCTTTAATAGTTCCAGAAAGTTCTCTGGCTAAAGACCTGTGTCGCATCTGCCAGGCAATGTTGACGATCTCTTCGAAAGTGATATTTCCGCTGTGTTTAATGTTCTTCTGCTTTTTCCTGTCTCTTGGTGGTTCCTTGAGGGCTTTGATGATCAGGGCAGAGGCAGAGGGCACCACCTCAATCTGGGCCTGTCTCTTCTGGATGGTCAGTTTCACTGTAATCCTCAGGCCTTTCCAGTCACCGGTTGCCTTGGCAATATCATCACCAACTTTTTTCGAAGACAGAACCAGGGGGCCGATCTTGGGGGCCAAGGCGGATGTGGCGCCGACCTCACCTCCGGTGCACCTCAGGTACACAACTTTGATCTTGTTGGGGTGGAACTTGGGCGGCATGGTGGAGGCGGCTGGTGTCCGATGAACCCGGATTCGGGACGACCGAAGAAAGTTGTACCATTGCCTCCTCCAAGCCGAAAACCGAAAGCTTCTCACAGATTTTTAACGCTAGCAAGTAGAAACCCAACTCCAGACTTCCTAAGGCCTTCCTGTAGAACTCATTTCTACCACATTTTTTGGTACCAGCAAATCTCAAGGTCATCCCAGATTAAGTATCAAATGGATGGTAAGGAAGGATAAGCGACAAGCTGGACTCTGTGAAGTAAGCACAGACATGTCCATAAAGAGATGGAGAAATTTGTTACAGGATATTTAGAGAAAAGATGTTAACAATGTCCCATGTATAAAATAATAGAAACATCACAGAAAAGTGAACCATTCCCTGATGAAATTTAACTGAAATTATACAAAAAAAGTCCTGTTTATATAATCAGAATTACAACGATGACTTAGTTCTCTATCAAAGATATTATTTTTTAAGAGACAATAAAATTATAGGCTGTACAAAACATATTTCTTATGATGGTTTTTATTCATTATGAATTTATTTGGTGTTTTTCTTGGTTCAAATTCCCATTATACATTCAATTTACATAACTACAGCTATGTTTATCTCAAGGGTGGTCCTCATCTACATACCTAAAGTAGACTTCAAACACATGCTGTTACATATAATACGTATATTTTTTAAAGTTTTTATGTGTATACATATATGTGGAATATGTACCTACATGACTGTTTACATGTGTGTAAGTGCAATTTTGTATATACTGGAAGGTGGGAAATTAACATCGGTGTCTTCCTCAACGGCTTTACAATTTATTTGTTTAGGTAAAGTCTCTCATTGAATCCTGAATTTGCCGAATTAGCTAGAAAATATTATTTTAGGGCTTCCCTAACTCTGTGGCTCTGGGAATTTGCTCTCTGATCTTCATACTTGCATAAGTGTGTGAACAAAGAAAACTCTTTGTAAAGCTATAAAGACGAAAGATTAGCCCATTCCAGATTCTGAGGATCCACAAGCAACATATGACTTTTACATTGATTTTTCTTTAACTTGTGGAACTGAGGAAGTAATGCTGAAAGAGATAAATAAAGATAAATCAAATAAGTCTTTACACATGAGTGAAAATCTGTTCATCCTTGAAGTCTGCATTAATTGTAAGTCTAATTAGCTATACTAATTATTTGCTACATATGTGGTAAACGAGTATGGGACAAAGTAAGTTCCAAATAAAATATATACCATTTTAGGAAATATGAGCAATTAGTTTTCTATTTGGTTTTCCCAGAAACAATTTATTTTAAAGAGACAAATCTATTTCTACAGATCTACAATATTTTAGTCTGTGTATTTTATTTTAATCTTTAAGTATTTTAAATGTATAGATAATTCTAGAAGAGAATACAATTTCTTAATCAAAATATTTACCCACCTAGAGTGAGAGCTTTGGAAGAACATTTCATTTCATATGAAAACAAAACAAAAAATCTTGTAAAAATGGCAGCTATACAATTTATATAACATAAAAGTTACTCTTATATGATACTTAGTTTATATGCGGTTTTAAAATAAAGAAAAAGGTACATCTCTTTATACAGATTCCAGCCAAGTGAAATGAAGACATTAAAATGGGGAACTCATTCACTTAGCTCCAAATTCAGGAAGATGCCAACTGCTGGAATCAAAAAAATTAATCTATATTTTATGCAGTCCATAAATGCTCTGGGATGGAAGTAATTTTAATTGATTTTGTTCTTAAGGCATTGAGCTTTATTTTTTATTTAGAGATACATTGTCAGTTTCACTGTTACAAATAATGAGGCCAATATTCAACATGTAAGATATTATCAGCAATTATGGTTTGAAGCTCTTTTGAGGATACATTTTTAGTGTAACCAAGACATTCCCTTTTAGTATAGGAGATGCATTCAGATTGTGCTTTGCCTTTTTACCTGCGAATAACAGATTTCTATTTATGTTATTAAGAACTTCTCTACAGCTTTTTCCCTTTCTAGTTTTCTAGTGATCAAGTTCTTGTGGACATGCTACTCTGAATCACACCCAAGTGGGAACTGCATTACCCAGCTCATCTCTACCACCACTTCCTATTCGAAGGACTCAAACCTTCTCGTAACTTATCTTCTCTTGTCTTATTTTCCTCTCAATACAAATACAGTTGATTCCTTCTTTAGCAATACGTTTCTTTCTTTTCTATATCACACTGTAGTATTGCTATTTATTTTAAATAGAAACATTTCCTATGTGGAGAGAAGAAATTCTTTAGACTTGGGAAGCTAAGTAAATATTTTAGAATGCTCAAAAATCTTACAAACTGTAGATAATTCTGGAAACTACCAAACCTACAAGGTTCATAAGACCTCTTTTCAAGGTTATATTACCAGACAACAATTACCATGGAAAGGGAGTTTTTAGTGGAGCTATAAAAATGTGTTGCATTGAGTTTCATGGATAAACCTTTTAAGAGTAGTTGCCCAGACTGTGGTAAAGTTTCTGGAAATGAAACTACCTTTAAGTTAATCATGCTTCTTTAACAGACACCAATAAATTCAAAGTCTCACCAAGATAGCCTTTTGTAATTGTTTGGTTAGTTACCCAATCTCTTCCGGGGACAAATAGAAGTTAGTCCACACTTTCTTCTGAAAAGACAGACAATGAATATTTTTACTATGACTCAAACACATCAATTTGTATAATTTGTCCCAAGTCTCAAACAAATTGACTATCAAGAGATCCTCATCAAAGCTAATGCAACACACTGTGACTTCCACTTCTCAGATACCAGATTTTCCCTTAAAAATCACAAAGGATTATTTGAGTGAGGTAACCCAGACCCAGAAAGACAATTATCACATATAATCACTCATAAGTGGTTTTAAACATAATACAAACAAACCCAGCCCACAAATTACAATCCCAGAGAACCTAGACAACAATGAGGACCCTAAGAGGGACATACATAGATCTAATCTACATGGGAAGTAAAAAAGACAAGATCTGAGTAAATTGGGAGCCTGCAGACCTTGGGAAAGGGTTGAAGGGGAGGAGAGAGGAAGGGAGGGGAACAGAGAAAACGGTAGAACTCAATAAAAATCAAAAAAAGAAAGAAAAAAAATAAAGTATACACCAAAGCTAGAAAAAAACATCACAAGGGATAAACCTACCATGAAATACAGGGATCTGTGGATCAGATTGTTCAAAACTCATTCCTCTATCAGCAGACATAGAAGTTTTTACTTAATACAAATGATTCAATATTTTCTGTGGAGATACTATATATCTAGCCCCTATTGTTGCTGTAAAGGTTCAGTGAGAACATAAATTCTAGAACCATGGCTAGTATATCACACCCAAATATCAGCAACTAAATTATTTCCATGAAAAATATCAATATCGTTATTACATATTCGACTTCATTTCTCATTTCCCTAATATGATGTTGGGAAGCCTTGTCGTAAGCAGTCTCAGTCCATCATGGCCGGGCAGCTTTTTTCCAAAACTCAAGAACAGGGGAATCCTTCCCTCTCAGAGAAACTTCCTGCTCTCTACCTGCCTTTATCTAGAGATTGTCCCTGGTCCTGGAGTACTGACCTTATCTGAAAGTTGTCTCTGAGCCTGATTCCCATTTAACTTTAGTATGACCCTTGACACAGATCCTTGCTAGATGCCTTCTTTACTGCACACATGCAAATTAAGACATATATTAGGAGCTTGGCTATAGGACCATGATGCCACATACAAAACCTTGTGATAGAAGGGTGCCACATGTTGCAAATTAGAGTTTTCAGCTATTGATAGATAAAATGTAACTTAAAAATTGATCCACATTTGTTCTATAATGTTGAGAGAGGAGACCAGAAGCAAATTATCACAGAAATGGACAAATTCAGTCTTAAATTGAAGAATGTATACCATGAGGAATTTCTTGGGAAATATAAGTTGGAAAAAACTAATGCATGGGAGCATGAAGAAATAAAAGCAAAAGAAAGACCATGGCTCAGGAGAAAAAAAGCTATAGCTAACCATTGGTAATCTTGGAAGGGCAATTTGTGAGAATCAGTTCTCCCCTACAATGTATATTCCACAGCTCCAACTCAGGTCACCAGTTCTGCCATCCCAGCAACCTTGCATATTTTCAAAAAGAAAAAGTTTTAAGTTTATGGATTAATATTATGTTTTTCATTTTTTGATACATCCATAACTTCAGTTACCATATTAGTTTGTGATCAAAATCCGTAGGCACAATTTTAATGTTACTGATTGAATGAATATCAGCGAGCAGTGATTTATGAATCTTTGTCATCTTGAGAAGCCCTGGGGACATGGAACGGGGCTTAGTCATTGACCCACTCATAATCAATGCAAGTGTGCATGATTTTGATGAAGACATCAGAGACAATTTACCAAATGAGCAAATGACCCCAACTGAAAAGCATAGCTGAAGTGATTAGGGAATCACGTTTCAAACTTATTTTGACATGTTGAAAAGTTATCCAAAACCAAGTACAGTGGCATTAAATAGGAGTTATGTAAAATTGTACATCCAGATTTTAAAAAAAGATTTAGTATATATAATATGGGAGTATAAATGTCCCCATAGACATAAAAAGTTATGACTTCAAACTACAGAAGATACATTGCTCATATATGGTCAAATGTCATATATTTCCAAAGGGCTTTGCATCAGAGTCACCAAGGCTTATTGGCAAAGCAGCTCCTCTCCAGTTCCTGCAGGCTACTACCTCAGAAAGAGGATTATTACATTACTCAGCCCCTATTTCATTCACTTTTCTCAGAGCCATGTAAACAAATGTCAGTTTGCCTTATATAGGTAGCAATGATAGACTAAAGTAAGGATGCAGCCCAAGTCAAGCATGCTGACTCAATGAGTTTATTGGGTTCACTCATAATATGGTGGTTATGAAATTGTTTGTGGGAAGGTGAGTGACATTCCACCTCATCAGGAATGATAACCACATGGAAACTGTGTCAT